CAACGACGATGGGTACTACCAGCCGAGGAACTTGAACAACAGGAGCAGGGGCGTAGAGAGGTGGCCACGCGGACACCGAGAGGATTGAGGCAATGGCATATGTGGAAGTCTGGGAGGTCAGGAGAGGGAAGGGGCAATGTGGAAGTCTGGGAGCCATTTTGTTATTATAGAACTACGGAGTATGTAATAACCTAGCCTGTGGGTATGTCGCAATCCAGTCCCTCCCCATCTGCGAGTTTTTTTGTTGCTCCAATGAGTGCATAATGGTTGGTTGGTAAATGTGGAATCTCGTTGAAAGTAGCTTCAGGTCATACATGTGTTGCTTCTTTTTCTGGCTGTGTGAGTTGTCATATATTTCCGGTTGGTTTATTATTTTTGTTAGATGTCTTTCTACGTCATTCCTGTTCATTTTCCAGTGTTTGCGTTTGTGTTACCTTTGTTTGTTCTGGCCTGTATTGTAGCTCTTCGAAAAAAGAAAAAAAATACTGTTTGTTTCGGTGAATGCTGATCGAGATTTTGGCTTTGTCTTTAATAATCCTGATAAGTGTCACCGTAGCCGATTATGCATAGTTGCGGCTAGGTCTTGCATGCGCAGGAGCGCAATTGAACACAAAAAAATGTTTTTACGTGAGGTCTATTTGCATGGTTTGTTTACCGTTGGGAAGATTCTGGGAGGACTTTGTCAGGCAATTGACCATTTTCGGTTTGCAAGTTCTCCAGCTACTCCGATCGATGCTGGAGAGCTTGCTGGCGGGACGCTTGTCGTCCCTCGCCGAATGGGCACACATGGCGGCCGGGACAGAGACGCCAACAGGGGAACGCCCTATTCAATGGTTGCATGGTGGCCGGCCGAAAATTGGGTCGGCTGCCGTTGGCTTTTCCTTATGCATGCAATCAAAGGGACAGACTAGTACTGCTCTTCCATCGGTATTGTCTTCAGAGAGATTAAAATCTTTGTTAGTTTAAACTTTTTCTTTTTTAAGATTGTTTTTTGCCCAAGGGGCTGTAATATTGTAGCTGATTCTCTAGGAGCGTGTTTGGTTGATGTAGCCAACAGTAGGTGCATTGCATAGCCTTCTCAACTCAGTCTGGCTATGTAAATGCAGTCTCAAATGCATTATCTGCATGTTGTTTGGTTGCCTTCATGGGCAGAACCACACTGCTGGTGTTCGGTTGCCTGCATGTTAGTGGACAAACCCAAGGCATGGTGTTTGGTTGTATGCAACGTCTGGTGTGTGGTAACCTCTTTGGCTAGTTGGTGATGTTACCAGCACACTTCGGCACAACCATGTAGCACACATCATAAGCAGAGCAGAGTATAAAAAGAGGATCAACTACTTAAGAGCATATTTCTGATAAGCAGTACCACACTTCATAACAGTTCTATGCATAAACCATAAACATAAACAGTTCAAAGCAGACTCGATAGTACTTAGGGAGGCCCCGACCCTACTCCTTGGCGGCGAAGGCTTCGTCGTGCTTCCCGCACTTGTTGACGACCTCAATGCAATCGTCGTCGATGATGGTGACCTTGAGGGTGTCTGGAGTGAGGAGCTTGAACCTCACCATGTAGCCGATCTTGATCTGATGAACGGCTGCGTAGGTGGCCCAACCCTGATCCAGGGTCACCCTGCCGTTCATCAGCTTCACCGTCACCTTCCAGGAGCAGTCGGTGTTGTTCCTGAGCTTGAACTCCGTCGGCACCGTGACGAAGTGCTTGGTGAAGTCCAGGGGCATGGGGATGCACTCAAGCTTCGGTGCAAGGATGACCTTGCAGAAGTGAGTTGGGCCATCCTCTTGATGGTAGTGGCCGTAGTTGCGGCGCTTGTTGCTGGGGGGGCTCCTCCATGCCCTCATCGTCGCCACCCTCAGGCGTCTTTGGGTCTTCCTCGGCGGTGGGCGGCAGCACAACCTCGTCGGGCATTAGGTGAAGGGGTTGCTTGCCCTTGTTGTCAACGGTCGGGAGCACCTCCGTGCCCATCTCATTGCTCTCCTCGATCTGCACACAATTCATGGAGTCAGGCACAGCACAGATTTCATGGCTTATTGAAGAGCATGTAGTTAAAACGGCATGACTGTCACTCTTCTCCTCCTCTCCATCGCCCCTATATTTACTCACCCTGCCCACCACTACTTACCCACCCCCTCTCTTCTCTAACTGTCAACCTTCCTCCTCCCCATCGCCATGAGCTCTAGCTCCAGCTCCAAAGCCAACCCCTTCCCTTGGGGTATTGGCTGGAGGGCCTTCTTCCTCGGGTGGTCGGCTGGTGACCGCACCAAGTTCGAGAACACCATGGAGGTGTGCTCGAACTTCGGCTCCATGCCTGACATGCGGAAGGAATCTAATGCAGTGTTCATGAAGGCCATTGCAGAAGAGCTGAAGACGTTGATTCCTGACCCAGCGAAGGGCGCGATGGTAGTTGACATCATTCGCTGGGCCATGAATCAGGCCGTCTCCGACGAGGGTAAACAGAGGAAGAAGTGGTGCAAGTACAAGAACTACTGGGCTCCTAATGACCGCCGTGCCGCAGTGTACTGGGAGACGGCTATCGCGCCGCCGGCGGTCATCGGTGGGGAGCCTAAGGAGGAAGAAGAAGCGATGCAGATGCCAGCAAGGGCGCCGGAGCCAGGCCGTCGTACCTGGCAGATCGACCTCGACTCCGCCGAGGACGACGACGATGACCCGCCGGCCCGCACGGCGATGAAGAAGAAGATGAAGGCCAGCAGCTCGACCCATCGCTCCGCACGCCGGTGACGGCCGCCGCGGTGAGCCGGTGTCCGTTGTGTACCCCCTATCCCCCAATCCCCCTTCTGCATCCGCATCTACCTCTATTCTGATCTTGCATATATGAACTCGTATGAACTGGTATGAACTAGTATGAACTACCCCTATGCTTATCTACCTCTATTCCCCATTCCCCTCCGCCGTGGATCGAATCTATCGCCGGATCGAACGGAAAAAGTTTTGCATGTCGAACAAAGAGAAGTGCTTACCGCCATTGCCGCGGGCCAACTGCTGATCCGCTCGCCGGTGATGGAGTCCGGTGGTCTTCTTGCTCTGCTCCGATCCGCCGCCGCCGGTGAGAGTTGGGAGAGTGGGAAAGAGTGGGGAGAGGGAGCGGTGAGGGGCGGTGAGGCTAATAACTGCCGGCGCTTCGGGAAGCAACGTGGCTTCTCGAGCGTGGCCGCGCGCGTGCAGCCGTCGCCGCCCACGTGCACCGCTCGGGCATGGCCTTGAAGAAACTGCCGATTCGTGCGTTCCCAGGGAGCCAGGCCCAGGAGTGCTTTAAGGTTCGTGTCATGCGGGCCGAACAGTGAAAGCAGGCAACCAATCGACCCGTTTTCGTCCCGCGCGAGCCAGGCCGGGCCTCATGCAGGCTACCAAACACGCCCTAGCTGCTCACGGTGCACGTATGAGCCATGCATCCTCAGCCTTGTGGCCGGACGGGGCTCCAGACTTTGTTCATGCGTTAATTGCCAGCAATTTGACTGGCCGTTCTGGTTAATGGAATAAAGAGTATTCCGGCTCAAAAAAATTAAAAAAGCTCCAAAGCGGAAACGCCTCCTCATCTCGAATCTTGCTTTTTTTAAACACAGTACAGACGCAAGTGCTCATACTATTATAACACACACACACACGTACATCCTATCCCTATGAGCATCTCTGAGAGATCGAGCCGGCATATCATCTTGAGATTTTATGAATAAGTCACCATAGGATAAGTGCGAGCACCAGGACTTGAACCCTGGTGGGCTGGGGATACCACTGTCCACATAACCATCCAACTACAGGTTGGTTCGTGTCTCGAATCTTGTTAGAGCAATCGCTCCTTGTTGTATGCATAGGAATAGCGGAAATTCAACATGGGTCATATTACCATATGGTATCATTATCCGAGCCGTTGGTCCACATAGGGATCAGTGAACACAGGCGTATTGCATGATGCATTTCTTTTTCATTGCATCAATATTCAATGCGCCACTGCTTCTTGTCGGTTGTCCATTAATGTTGTGGCCCACAATGGTGTTCTAACGACGCTACTTTCTACTTTTTCTGGACCGGAGCTTGTGGCACATGGTCTGCTCCATACTAAGGCCTACTCCAATGCATGACCCAAACAGACGTCCGTTTTGTCTGGATTTCGTCCGTTTGAGGGTGACAATTGGGTCGTATCCACCCGGATTTGAGTTTGCGTCGGCAGGACGCCCAACGAGCGGTCGCATCTTCGACGCATCTTGTCCCCGTGCATGCAAACATGAGAAACCAAGGATTTAAGTCTCGGCCACGGTTCGCACTAGTTCACGTCGGCCGGCAACACAGCCAGCGGCCTATAGTCTCATGCCGCAACACAGCTAGCCTTTAAAAAGTACATGTTTCACGCCGGCAACAAAGCCAGCGGCCGACACACCAGCCAGCCTTAAGAAAGGACCGCCATCGCGGCCAGCGTGGCCGAGGTCTCACCTAGTTCAGGCCGTCACAGGCTAACATCTCCTTCTGTCGGTTCATGAACCAAGCCTTCCTCTCTAGTGACATGTTGTTCTTGTTGACGCTCATCAACACTAGTGTCATCTCCTTGGCTTTTGTGCCGGCATTGGTGGCCTCGATCTCTAGCTTCTTGAGTTGAGCAGCCTCCTCTATGTCGGGCTTCCTCTTCTTCACGGCCTCCTCCATGTCAAGATTCTTCGTTTGAAGATCTAGGTATATCTTCATTTGCTCCTCCTTCCCTTTGCACCTGCTCTCCTCCCGCACTTCCTTTTGGCTCATCATGTTCTCCGAATTTCCTTGCAAGGCTATAGAAGACACATCACGCTTCTCGTCGGCCTTTGAGCTTGTCTTGCCCCTCGGCCTCTTGAGCACGTCTCCCTCATCAGCCATGGCCGCCTTCTCTCCTATATTCTTCTTAAGAGCATTGTATTGGTCCTTGAACTTGGGGCAATCTTTGATGAGCACCCAACAATGCCCAACATGAGGAGGGTGTGCGCCTTGGAGACGGTGGACTCCTTGTCGTCAAGGTCGGCCTGGTGCTGCAATGCACGCCGCAGGTAACACTTGGCGGCGTACTCGACGACGGCCTTCTTCTCCGTCGTGACAGTTCGCCGGTTCCTCCTCTTGGCCGATTCGGCGTCGAGCTTGGCGGCCTCCGCTGACGTGAGCTCCGAGCGAAGCTTCTTCACAGGCTTCGTTTT